TTTGAATGCTTATAAAAACATATTGTGACTATGTATTTTTTTATTTTTCAACTACTATTTTAACAATMTGTTAGGAGCCTTGTAATAAATTTTCAAACTTTTCTATCCAACAAATACATTTTTATCGATCTTAATTTAAAAAAAACTTATAATGATTGAAAATTACATATGCCTACAAATAGTTTAACTTTAGTCGAAGTTTTTTTTTAATTGCACGGTGGATAGAATATACTTATATAGACATTCGGTGAAAATTTCATATATCTATGGTCATTTGTTTTAAAGTTACATTAAAAACCAAAATCGATTTTGTTGAAAATTGATTGTGCGTAAAAATTCCCGTTTTTTCCTTAATTTTTAGTTTGTTTATATTTAGAAAAATATTGGGATTTTTTTACTTTTTACCACCCCCCTCCCCCCCCAAAAAAAAAAGTACTAACTAGATTCACTTTCTGATCGAACGAGGTACTGAAGTCGAAAGTCGAAGCACTTTTATTGCCCTTCAAAAACGTGATGACAAACACAAAAAAAAAAGAAAAATCACACATCATGGTAAAACCAATACATTCCTCGCTCCCGCTCAAAATCTAAAAACTGAAAATTAAGAAAAAAATATGTTTCAAGTTATAAATTACAATAAACTCTTAAAGAAATGTACAAAGTTTATTAATATACTTGCCACTTACATCAACTACGGGTTCACTATGTTGTTTTTATGTGCAACGCTTACGAGTTATGTATAGTATAGTTATGTACATAWGTATTCCAATTAGGCACATATCTATAAATTTAAATTCAGTGGTGTAATTTGTCACCGTGAATTTAAAAGCAACCTAATGTGAAAGTACCTGATTGATTTCGTTTACTCATTGTAATATTTTATTAGCGCAAAATCATGTATATTTTAAATTTTTTCATCATTTTGAAAAAAATATTAGGTAGGTACGTCATGAATTAAAATTTTTTTGTCACAGTGATAAATAATTGGTTATTTATAATTAAAAGTTAGAATATATTTAGTCACATGCGAGTACCTGCATGGAAGTGGTGAACTGGTGTGCCTGTGTGTTTAGTTAGGAAATGAAGTATATTATTAATTATTTTTGTATGTACAAAAATAGAAACAATTAAGATCATAATTTCAATTAGTTTTATTTCTAAAATCTAAAATTAATACAAATTTTAAAAACAACATCCGATTAGGTCACTTATTTATCATTAATATCAGACTTCAGTTAACTTTGTGACAGTCGTGTACAATGTAAAGTGGCATAATTAGACCTACATACTTTTGTGTTGAATTTAGTTTAGTATGCTGAAATATTTTTTCGATGTGCTTCTATTATTTTTTTAATATAGACAAATATCTTAGAAATAAAAATCATGTAAATAAATTAAGTTACAGCAAATGGCAAACAATTTCTAATATGTTTAAAAAAATAGACAAAACTTGAACCMGTGAGCAAGCAATAAAAATAACGTATTATTAAAACTTAAAACAATATTAGTTTACAAAGCTTAAATTTATATCAACAATTGTATTTATGAAATATCAACTACCTTATATTTACAAATTATATTGTTATCTAATTAATGAAAAGGATTGCAATGTTTAACTATTTGAATAAAAATATATAAATTATATATAATATAATATATAGGTAATTATATTTTTTCGTAAATTATAAAATATGTGAAATAAAATGGTAATTTGATAAATATTCAAGATAATTTGCTTGCAAGAGATAAGTAATCGGTTTTTTTAAAGTTATTCATTTGGCTGGTCAAAACTTTATCCCCCTTCTATTGAAAATTGAAATAACGCTACTGTTTAAATTATTAAAAAACTTATGTGGAACCACGTATTAAACTAAACATTTCTTCGACTGAGCGTGATTATATATTGGCATTTATAGAAAAAAAAAATGTAAAAAATTGTCAACTTCAAAAAAAATTGAAAAATAATCAAAATATTTTATATGATTTACAATGTACCTACAATGTACAATTTTACAAATTGTACAGTACAATACAGTACTATAMATTTAGTAAATATTTAAAGTATTTACGGTTATTTATATTATCATATTAAAACAAACTATTTTTATTTTTTTGAGTTGAGAGTTTTTATTTTTTATCTCTCAGCTTAATTTACATTCCTATCAGAAAATATATTGAAGTAGAAAATTGAAGCATTTKTACTGCTCCAATAATTAGTAGTGATGAAAAACACAAACTAAAACACTTATTATTGTAAAATCAATACACATTCATGACTATAAAGTATAAGATCAAAATCTAAAAGTATAGTTATGTTATAAAGTAATAAAGTATATGTTCACAAATCATAGAATAAATAATATGTAAAAATTAAAAATATGTGCCCTACAATATTTATAAATCGCAACTGACAAACAAATCTGCGAGATATCGTGGCATAATGTAATATAATGTWATTGTTGTAGGTACGTTCTGTATTTTGTCGTTAATATTTTATGCAATAATAACCATATCGTCGACCGTACAGTATACCAAAGTTGTCACACCTATAGTACCTACAGTAAATGAAAAACACAAATCACTGAAAATTACAACGACATAGATGCCAACAGCCGAATTTTTCTTTTCATGTTCACGTATTGCATAGTATTGTAATTATTTGGAACACTTTCAAATATTATTAATGAATGGTATCCGCGCCGTTTGATTTTGATACAAGCGACCCAACACACTGTCATGGTGTTTAACTTACATAGTTACGGGCCGTCATTATGGCATTATTTTTTTATTATTTTTTTACGGTGTTTACCGATTCTCTGTAATAATAATAATAATAATAATAATAATAATATGTTGTTTCACGGGAATCGTAAAATATAAAGTTACTTTATTTTGATCGCGCTATGAATGCGTCTTATTATTTTTAATAATTATATTGTCGCTGCTGTTACCTGTTATGTGTGAAATATGACGGCACAATAATAGTGTCAAATAAAATTAAAATACTACCTACAAAAGCCGTCTAGTATTTATTATGTATTATTACACTATAATAATATTACGTATTGCTATTTTTCTTTCAGGTGCTGTGCTCGCAATCACTGGCCCGTCGTACACGGCGTCCGGCTCTCGGTTTTGCCGACACCGCGTACGCAGCATTTAAGACAGGCCCGCGTAGGTTTCGCGCTTGGGCCTCGTTCGCCAGGTATGACGATGGATTTTAATATTATAATAAAATTGTTGTGGTTTTAATAATCATTGTTAACGATGCAGATAATATTTCACTATGTAGCGGATATAACATTGCATAAATCTAACCTTTTGGTTTTTCCTAGAAAATAATATACTGTTCTTCGACGGCTGGTGTTAGATAAAAAAAAATATTATTATTGTATATCAGGCTTATGTCACCAAATGACAACCATACCGTGTATTATAAAATTTAAATTTTGGACACATTTTTATGTGTACTTCAGTCGTCTACGTATTTTTTGGCTAAAACGACGAGCTCTTAAAATGGGCGTATTTAAAAAAAATTGTGAAAATATTCCTTTCTACAATACATTTGTATGCTRTGTCGACCTTRCGATTGTACATTTCATTTTATTCCGACGGGTTTTCCCGTATCATTGAGCAAATAATATTAGTCGGGAATGAAAAGAGTAATTTATTATTATTAAAGAGTTACGCATAGACAAATTTGTCGTATATGTGTGAAATAAAATTATGTAAATTATTATATAATATTCCTATAACAACAATTATTAAATACTCATGAATGTACATTCAGCGTACGAGATTGCTGTTTATACGTAACCAAATATTATTCATCAAAATATGGCAGATTATTTTGTCCCAAATAATCGACATTATTACATAAAATTTAAATAACATAAAGAGTGCCGAGCACAGATTTGAATTCGCTAAGAAGTTAACATATACCTATTCCTAATATATATGTGAATTAGTCTAACTTTTGTATTTAATCCAAATACTTATTTAAAGCAATAACCCAAATCAACTTTCCATAATTCGACGCTCATTCAATTATATAATAAAAATGTTGAACTTTTAATGCTTGTAAAATTGTAATATTATAGTGATTGCAGATTGAACATGGATGATATTATATTTAATTGAACTGTTAAGTCATATACATTATTGACAGTTTTATGAATATTAGTACATAATTTACACTTATTTCTAAATTAAATTTATTAGTTATGAAATAATTTGTGGATTGATACTCCTTATAAATGGTAAAATATTTATACTTTTTAAATACACCAGCCAAATAAATTTGTTCTTCTTAAAATAGAAAAAAGTAACCTTACAACCCATTAATACTACATATATTTTCAAAGTAAAAACTTTACGACTGGACTAGAGTTTGAATAAAAATTATTTTATCGCATAGATTGGCCAATAATATACAATATATTTTCAAAGATATAAATACACAATAATGCAACCKCCTTACATATATATTTTTTTGTTTTTTATTATGTCTGGTGTCTTTATACACACATTTTCATGTCACTGTTAAWTTAACTATCCACAAAATCATCTTAATAAAGAGGATTTGTCAACGCTGCACTATTTTGCACGTATTATTTCGGCAACTGTGTGTATGTAATACTCGTATCAGCGTCGTTCAAACAGGTATAACAACGCGCACTGACATGAAACAGTTTGCGTCCTATTTTCACTTTAACTTTTTTCAGGTCGCAGACAACCACATGCCTGTAGAGTGGCAATTCTCCATACGTACCTGGATCTTGGGTCTCGCCTTACCGATTCTTCCTCTCGGCACCATTCGTTCACTCCAGGTATTGGTTCCCTTCTCAGCCGTGGCTACGACATTCATACTACTCGGTTTGGGTTGCTCCATGGTATGGGTGGTGATCGGTGTCAGTCCGTTCGCCAGCAAAGAAGCTGTGCTGGCAGCCGTGCCACTGCCTGATATGGCGTCTCGTCCCTGGATAGGCACACTTGCACACATGCCATTGTTCTTCGCCACTGTTGTCTTTGCCATGGAGGGTATCGGCACCGTATGTATTATATTTCAGACAGTTTCAATTAATATGCCATATAGCTTCAATAGTAATATTTATCCGTGACTTAGGTTCTACCGATTGAGAACTCGATGCGCCATCCAGAACATTTCCTCCGGGCCCGCCCATGTGGAGTGTTGAATGCCGCAATGACGCTGGTTGTGTTTTTGTACTCGATGGCCGGCTTCCTCGGATACTTACGTTTTGGCAATGCCACTGAAGGTTCGATCACGCTCAATCTTCCCAACGATTTGTACGTATTTTTAGTATAATAATTAATAAATATCAATCAGTAATCATCAATTAGTACAGCAAGGGGTAGTCAGGTTAGTGACAGAGGTGGTAAATAATCTGTAATTTTCTTGGTCACCTTGACCAACCTCAAATTATAGATTCGCTGAGACAGTTAAGATCATGGTCACGATGTCAATACTCTTCTCATACGGCTTGCAGTTTTGTGTCCCTAGTGAAATTGTTTGGGCTCGCTTGAGGCCCTGGCTACGGAAACGCAAATGTGACGCTAAGTATTCCACAAATGCGACAGACAAAGATACAGTAGCTGTGAGCACCATTGCCGGCAGCATTGTGACCATGACCACGGTCACATCAACAATGAATCATTCTAAACACTACGAAAAGAAACAAGCTGAAATAGATGAACTGSATGAGGAAGAAGAGTACATGGACTGGGAATATTACGTGATGCGGGCATTAATGATCCTGGGAACTTGTACAGTACCATATTATATTGATTTAATTTCGTTCTAGTGTTTACTTACATTTCTTTTTATACGTATTCCAGTTGGAATTGCTGCCATTGTACCCAACCTTGCCCCCATCATATCTTTATTTGGAGCAGTATTCTTCTCCATCCTAGGACTTTTGTGTCCAGCTGTAATACATCTRGTTGCATTTTGGGAATATAAGAACGAAAATGAAAATGATGAAAACTATGAAGACTCAGATTCAGAAAACAATTTACGATTTGACGGAGTCGATAACTATGCTATGTTTGACGACATAAGTATAGAATGTGGTGGTAATACACAGCGACAACAACAAAGGAAAATAAGCAATGATGAATCGAGTACCAGAAAAAAGGGCATGTCCCTATTAACGGCCACCAAAGATGTGGCCATCGCTTTACTCGCTTTATTGGCCATGGTTTCTGGGGCATATGCGTCTTTGGTAGACATATTTAAATGTTACGGATCTAGTAGTAAATAGCACGCTATAAATTCTACCATAGAAATTATAACGTCAACTGCTCAGGGCCAGAGTCAGCGTTCCTGTTGAGAAAATAAATAAATTTATCAATATGCATAAACATCACCACTGCATCGATCCAAGCTTTAAATACATTATTCAAACAGCTWGARAGATGTTGTGAAGTCATCCCCACACCACTAGATATATTATGTAAGCTATATGAGTGTCACCAACATTATTAATAGCATCACTCTCATAGTGTTCTTATATGTTTAATTTATTTTGGACATAAATATAATATTATCATAATTTTCTTTCCTAACGGTCTAGTGTCATAATATAATTATAGTAGGTAGGTGTTATTATTGACTGATGCTATCTGTCTTAAAGACCTATTTATTTTTATTTTTATTTTTATTTAAAATTTGTTATTTCCTACTTTATTTGATTAACTGTCAAGTGTATTTTTATAGATGCGCGTTGACAATAAAAAAAAAAGTAGTGCATAATTTCAAATATCTTATTGATACTTATTTATTATTGTCATTACTATTTTTAAATTATTTTATTATACTACTATTTCACTTTCCACTGTTATATGTTACACATTTTAAAAGACATTTTTTTTTTAAATATGTTTTGGATTTCGGCCGTTACTACTTGTAAAATAGTTGAAATCATATTGTTTTTTTTTTTTATATAAAACGATGAAAATGCCAAATGATTACACCATTAGTATGAATTTTTAATATACCTAATTTATACGTGATTTTTGTTCGAAATACATAAATTGTTTTTTCAACATATCATAAAATTATTTATTTAGTAGGTACCTATACCTATTTTTCAAGGTTAGTGTAAGAGTATATTCAAGCATAATATATACATATATTTCCTAATTGAATAACTCGATCATATTTTAGGTATTTAGGTACCTAGTTATATTTATTTATTAGCTGTTCGTCTAGAAAACATGCATAATCATAAACCTACAATAAAAGACTAAAAGAGAAACTTGTAAGTACCCGTATACCTTAACCTACCTTAACTCCTTTGTGAAAAAGTTTCTCATTGTCCATCATATTTTTCAAAGTACGTAAATATATGGTGTAWGTTGTATTGTTAAATAGATAAATAAGTCCACTCTCTGTTAACATCAGTTTTTAAACACAGATTTATTCAAAAAATGGCTGAAACCTCAGTTTTTTATTTTTCAACACCTAATACCGTAGCCGATACCAAAAGCTTCCAAACCTACTGTCCGTGGTCATTATATTATGTAGTATATTATTAATTATAGTGTGTTAAGTTAAAGTGCTATTTTAAACATAATTAAATAATGATAAATTAATTAAATTTCATAAATCATAAATTTTTAATATTTTAGGAACATAAAAAAAACTAAAACCGCAGTTGCGAATGTTAATATCGTGGCGAGATCCATTTCTGCTGTAGCTCCAGAAGTCAGTACGTCAGAATTATTGTGATATTTTCCATATAGAATATTGCACTTCGTATACTTCATTGAATTTAATTCTTTATATAATATTATATTTACAACCAAACAAATATATTTTAACACCGATAAATTGTTGTGGTTAATTTAAATTTATTTTTAGGATGTATTAATATATGTATATAAGACTATAGTCTGTTATAAAATTAAATAATAAGAAATAGTTAAGTGTATATGCAACCAAAAATTATAATACGGTTTATCGGGGTAGTAGAATTATACATAAGTAAGCACCATTACATATGATAATTCATATTATCTAAATCGCATTGTATCGTGTAGCACGTATGGAGTGTAGACTGTTTAGAGGTATAATATTACACTTATACGTCGTATAATATTATTCAAATGTGTATATTATTTTAATATGTATGAGCTTACGGCTCACATTTATAACCACTCGTATTTCTAAATCATGTTGTGTAGCGATACAATTACTGCAGTGATCTATTATAATCATATTAATATATTATACATTATAAAAGACAAACTTTGGTGACGATTTTTAAGGTGATCTATACTATGACAACTATAGAAATATTATGAACAATGAACACTAAAAAACWAATAGAAGTTAATATTTACATACTTAAAAAAAAATACACAGGTGGGTCACCAATTGACCCATTTTAGTATAGTTGATGACTATTGCGTAATCACAAAATTTATTCATAGATGTGTTTTAGGATTTTTTCGTTACAGTTATGGTAACGGTTGTGGTAAAATTATAGCTTATACAATTAACGATTTTGAGATTTTCTAATTTTTTTAATATGCACAATATAATGTTATATGATTGACTTTGTATAAAATATTCAGGTATTAATATTAAAACTGTAAGTTAAATTAAATTATTAAAATAAAAACATTATTTTTAGTAAAGAATTTTAACTACTTCAAAATGTTAAACTTAAATTGTTTAGTCTAACCAACATGTAAATTTAATTTATTACACCCTCAATAGACTATAATTTATTAATATACATTTTATATGGTAAGTATACTAGTACATTTTGCCAATGTTTGAGTTGTATTAGATGATTTTGTTTGTTATTTTTAATAGTTATATTGCAATATTCTGCAATGCGCAAAAATGTACCATTTTTGTCAAGTGCCAATAATATGCGATAAATTCACCTATGATTCGCTGGTGCTAGTATGTTCAACAATATTTAAAACGCATGTATATAGTCTTTCATTTAGCCGTGACCTCGGTTTACGGTGTAGCAGTAGTATATAGTATGGTGGGAGGATCAGGAGAAATCCGGTTACATCCACTGCCGCCTTCACCGATATGTCAAATATTTTTGTCAATCAGAAGACGACAATCAATAAACTTAATTACGTAAGTCATGAAGTTAATGGTAGGTATTAACTATTATTAACGATGGTTCAGGTACTCGTAAAAAGTAATGAAAAAATGTCTAAAACGATCAGAGAAAGATATAGGTACCTATAGCAGGTGCTCACGAAAAACATTCCACTCTTATCTTAAGATAAAGGTAGCACTATGAATTGCGATCAAAGTTGAACTATAAACGTATTTTTTTTCTGATTTTTAATCTGATTATTAATTTTAGATTTGGAGTGTAGAAAAGAGTGTATTGACTTAACAATGATATGTTTATATATTTTTTTTTCTGTACTGTGTACACGTACGTAATCGAAATAATGCTTCGATTTTCAACGTTGATTTCTTTTCCGGTGGGAAAGTGAGTCTAGTTGGTGCATTTGGAGGGTAAAAATTAAAAATTTCCATAAGTTTTCAAAAGCTCAGGAAAAAAAGAAATTAAGGAAAAACGAAAATTGTCAACAAAATTTAAAATTATGGTGATTAGCAAGGTTAGGATTTGTAAGCAACAGCATGTTTTTTTTGCGACTTCTGATTATTGATTTTGTCAGTAATGTCCACGAATCACCTCATGATTCATCTCGAATGGTGGTGTTTTTATTTTGCATGTTTTTGCATATTTTGGATAAAATGCATATTAATGCATCATATATTGAATAAAATGAATATTATTGCATATTTCGATTATAAGAATGCGAAAAATGCATGTTTTATAGTATATTTCGTAATTAATATTTATAATTTAATATTAATATTTTTTGTAATCGCTTTGCTATAATTATTTGCAATAAAATGCAAATTAAAAAAAAATATATTAATATTTCATATTTAATTCTAGCTCTACTGATTAAAGTATAAAACTTGGTTTTTTTGTCAAACACAAATTTTATTTTTATTAATACAATCCTATGGTACAATTGGTATGCGATTAAAGATTGGATTGAATAGTTTGACGGAGAAAGATAAACACAATTAATAAAAGTATGTCGATCAATATAAAATCTAAGTTAGAAATTAAAATGCATATTTTTGGTAAATAAAATGCATATTTTACAATTTTATATTGCATACAAATCCTAGCTCTGGTGATTAGCATAATTTATTGATTTTAGTGTTTGGTGTAATTAAAAAAAAAAAAATACGTAGATAAATGAAATTTTTACTGAATGTTACACTAGTAGCATTTTCTATACACCATGTACAGTTTTCAAAATATTTTGATTTATGTTAAACTAATTATAGGTATACAACATTTTTGATTTTTATTAAAATTAATATCGATAAAAAAGTTTGTTGTGTCAATAAGTTTGGAAGTCAAATATTAGTTCACTCAAGTACTGTTATAATAGCAGCTATACATTGTCATGATTAAATTATTTTAATTTTATAAATTTAGGATTCAAATTTTGTTAACGTTTATCAAAATCACAAATTAATCTGTAGTTAAAAAAGTATAAAATATTAAATTTCTATATCTACGGATTGAAAATTTAAAACAAGATTTCTCAAAAATTGTATCATACGCAACCAAAAATTCCATAATATTATATTCACATTTTTTATTAAATACATATTTTAAATTAAAATTTGGATGAATTTAAATAYTTAAGCAGACAATAACAATTTTATCTATCATTTTCAGAAATTAATTTAACTTCATTGTGATAACAAAATAAATTGCTATTTTATCATAAAATATACATTCAAATAATATACATACCTATATAAGCTGACAGACTGTTTTCGCTCAAAATCGAATTTCGAATACGATGATATTAWACATAGTATATATACAATTATTGAATTTAAATTTAACATCACATCTATATATTACAGTGACCCGTGCGACACCTAAGTTATTTTATAGTTATAGTGGTACTCACCAGCCCAATTTATACATTTTTAATAAGTACCTATGCATATTATAGGTAATATTAAATATTAGTAATTTACTTTACATCCAAGTTAGAAAATTTTTAAAACCAAATTTAAAAATTTAATTTAAACTTATAAAAAAATATAAGGATTAGTAAACAATTTTRTTTGGTTTTATGAAATTAATGTCGATAAAAAAAATTGTAGCTTTTCATCAAAAAACTTGAAAATGTAATACAAGATTCATAGTAATAASTTATTGTTAGTAGAAATTACAAGATACAATTTGAACAACAGTAATTTTTTTGTGATCATCTGCAGAAGTTTAAATTTTTACAACATAAGTTATTTATTCAATTTTTCACAGCACGATTTTTTTACTTTGTTGCAAATATTGTTTAAAAACGAATCCGTAAATACTTAAAGTTTACACCATATGTTTATTTTATTGTTCTCTACACTTGATAAAGTATTTTGACTCGTTTTGAGCCATTTACGGACATTTTTAATTTTTAGTTTTATTTTCTATAGTTATTATGAATACGATTTTATTCGTTAGGTCAAAAAACTTGACAATTCAATATGAGGGCCCATACACATAGAATTCTAGTTTCAAAAAATGAAAAATACATATGCAAGTATTTTTTCATAAGCATTTCATACAATTTTGATAACATGTATCAAATTGAAAATTGAAAATTTACAAACTACTTTTAAGCTTTTAAAAAATTGAAAACAAGGTTTAAAGCGAAACGTTTCTATACTTATACATTGACCTGTCATACAACGTTGTTGTTTAAACATCACGAAAACGAACTTTTATTTAATGGAGATTTTAAATGTATTGAAGATTGTCTAGTGATTATGAAATTAACATTTCTTCAAAAGTATTATTGCAATAATGAGTATAAGAAAACTTTATACAATTTTTAAGTATTATATAATTGAATAATTATACCTCATTAGTCATTATAATATATTCACTATGCAAATGTTGTTAACTTCCTTGGTGATATGAATGGGGGTACTTGGAACCATCATGGCCAAGCACATTATACGTATTTTGTAAAAAAAACCTAGCTGGTAACTGCAGCGTGCACTACATTGCCAAGTTATTGCGTTACTATTCATTTTTCGTACCACAGCTATATGTGAATTATAAAACTATTGTATTATAATTGGGTCCTGATTTTGTCAGGAAAACTGCCAAGTGGTCTTCTTGCATGGGTGCCAAAATCAATTAAAGTGCGMTATCATATAATATATTTGTGAGTATATGACTTTTATATAGATATTATAACGTGACTTCATATATGTTATATTATTTGTTCTARTTATTGGATATCTAAATGTGTTRTGCACTAATGTTGTTTAAAGGACTCTGTTGTCAGTCGCATCTTAGTCAATAAATGAAAATAAATGAAGAATTCATATGATTTTATAGTACTATATGTAAACATATTAAATGCTTTATAAAATACCTTAAAGTATCAAAGTGCTAGAAATAAGAATTTTATCATTAACTTCAAAACAAATGATATGCTGACGTAGGCACCTTCATGAACACATTTATATTTATTATATTTCCAACGGGTAATCTTAAATGTATTGGTGTTTAATAAAACGCGCGATTTTTCGGTACAGTCATCATATATGATATGATATAATAATATATATAATATATATATATATAATAATAATATAAATATTCATGAAAAAAATATATACCACATATAATAATATATTATTTATATATTATAATATATAGTTAATCATCGAATGGGAAAAATTGATATGTTGTATAGCCTGCAACACAATTATTGTTGCCGTATATATATATATATATATATACATATATTTGCAATGGCTGAATCAACATTCTTAACGGCGATGACCGATAAATTTGGCACGGGTGAAATACTCAAAGATCGGTCGGCCGCGCGACGCGATGATTATATTATTATAAAAAGTATAAAATATTGCGATGTAAAAAAAAAAAAACCCGACGAAAATTTGCAATATTAGAACTCGTCTCTGCTGCTGCTGCCTTCCGTCGCGAAACCGCGCGAATAGAAAGCGACGACTTTGGCGTCGGCGAATAGTTTGCAACGGTGGTACGGCGCGGGTCGCGGGAATAGTAGTTTCTCAACCGCGCCGCCGCCTTCAGTTAAGAATGTTCCCCCTCACCTCAGTCATCTCTACCACCACCTCTCACTAACAACCAATCGTCTACTAGATAGTTATTATATACCTGTATATCGGCTCATGATATCGGCACCGTTGCCGTAACACAAACTCCCGATGCTCAGTAGAGCAATAGCAGTTTCACACGTACGCACGAAAACGACTGAATCTACGCATGTGCTACAGCCTCATTTCCTGTAGCGTCTCAAAAATCATAAGTTAAAACCATAACTGCCACGGCGACAGTGTCGGGTGTAATTGTGAACATAGGTGAATATAATTGAACCTAAGCAGTGTACGTGACTATTACGTTACTTCAATCCTACGACTTCAAGGAAGTTTCGCGGCGGAGACGTTCCGCCCACGAAGACGACAGAGACGACCGTCAACGTACGTATATACTGAATGATTTATAATTATTACTGATTGCGCATTTGATGTATGCTTATGYATGTAATATACGCACGAAAAAGCGATACGCAAAGATTTGGCAAATATTTGCAAAACCTATTTCATTAACAGCCAGCCTAAATGGCTATTTATATAAATATATAGTCTTATATTATTTAATGGCGACATGTACATATTATTATTATGTTCAGTATTTACGATACCTTCATATGGCTAGATATTATAATATATTTAGTGCCTACCAGTATACCTAATATAGTTATTATTATACGTTCTGAGGAGACTTGAACGCGCGCTCGTCACCCTCGTTAGGCTCAAGATTCGGGAAAGGGAAAATCATCAATATAACGAATAATATCACATTGTGTGTTTTTTTTTTTAAATGATTTGTATGTAACAATCTCACAGTTTTACGTCAGCCACTATCGATTAAATATAACATGATTAAGTGTCGACGGACACGTCATCTTCTCGGTGACTGCAGTGGCCTCTCTCTTATTCTCCACCACCGCCGCCACCGAGCAATTTCCTTAAGCCCCAGCTGCACCCTGATTATACATCTCATCAACGCAGTTAACAAACTGCAACGCGTATCATGCGTGGGCTGTGTGCACTTCGTATAGTATATACATACACTCGCGTCACGCGGTCATGTGTGTTATTATAGGCACGCTGTATACACAGCTTCCGCACGTATAGGTACGCGCAAAATATGTCGCGGCGGCGTCTGCACACTCTCTCCTCGGCAGTCATCGCCGCCGCCTGAATARTAAGCTACATGTACAGCGCTGCCATCGCTGTTGCGGAAAAGAGAGAGCAGCTCACAACGGCGGCGAAATCTATGTCACTAAACCGTCGCCGCCGCATTTCCCACACACACGCACGCGCAGCAGTTATATATCTGCACGTCGGCATAGACGAATAAAAGAAATTTGATGGCGGCGCGCCTTCAGTCCTCTTGCTCTTCCTCTTCTACCTCCACCACCACCACTTTATATTCTGAGCAACTCTGACTATAATAATATGACGTCGACTCGTATGCGAGTGATCCGTACATTTTATTATGTATTTTAAATTGGCTTTTCGCGAGCCCTCCTCGTGTGCAATATAATTATATAATATTATGTTCGTTGATTGTATTAATAATATTTAGAATTGTTTTTTTCCTCTGCAGTTTTCGTGGTGGCGTTTTTGTCTGTGTTTAACAATAATTATACGACAAACATCGCGCCCCCGCTATGATTCACAGTGGCGGCGGCGCCGACTGTTACACCGGTACGGCGGCAACCACGACGAATGCTGGCAATCCGACGACCATGATGTTGGTAAATATACAACAGCAACAACAAATACAACCACAACAGCAGCAGCAACAACAACAGCAGCAACAGCAAACGGCTGCAGATACCCCGGCGGACTTTTGGTGGTGGTCCACATCGACGGCCCAGCAACTCGCCGACAACGGTGGAGCGATAGCCGGACACCAACTCCAGCAAATATCGTCTTCATCTTCCCAACAGCAACAGCACCACCAAACAATGMACGGAGACGAGTTTGACGGTTTCGACTTGTCGTTGCTCATAAACGGCGCAAGCGACGGGTACTTCAGCGACACGTCTTCAGCTGACTGCCGAGTGCCAGGGGCCGCCATTTCTGCGACGGTTACCGTGCACACCAACACGTCCATGGACGGTGGCAGCGACGATGGCAACTGTTACTACCCGACATCCGTGACGTCGACCTCACTGCAACAACAATTGGACCTACAGCAACTTCTGTCCATATACGACGACATGTGTTTTTTCAGCGGTGGTACCGCTGAAGATGATGCAAAATCAATTTTCCATCAGCAACCTCCGGTGGCCCCGGCCGAGGTGTCTACAACGACCGCCGGTGTCAGTCAACCCAAAACCACCGTGCCGGTCATCCCAGCCAGCCAGCTCGTCAACACCACGACGACGATAACTGACACCACCACCAACGCCGCCGCAGACACCGCCAAGAACCACGTCGGCAAAACCACTCTGTTGAGATCGCTGTTGACAGCTACAGCACCACAGCCCGTGATGCCGCTTTCAGCCACGCGCCCAGTCGACTCACCACCAGCGGCCATAGTCGAATCCACCACTGAAGTGGCGACGCCGACGACGACGACAACGACAATGAAACAAGAGGCCTCCTCACAGAACAGCCACAACAAAAACAACAACAACAAACACCGACTGCTGATAGAAATGTTACGCAGTGGAAACGAGGACGACGACGTAGTCCCCACGGCCACGACAGTGCGGCCCGCGCGCCGCAGGCCACGTGCCGATGAGACTATCGGTTCCGATGACGAAAACGGGCCGCCGCAAGGCAGTCGCCGCCGACTAGATACCCCGCCGTCTCTGCAACTGGACGGTGGACAGGCGTCCAGACAAGACGTCACGGACGATGACGAGCTGCTGTTGTACGGTGGTCCTTATTATTCCAACGTGGCGTCGCCTTCGTGGCTGGACCGCATGGTGGCGGCGGCTGCCGCTGCGACAACGGGCGCCACCACTACCGATTTTTATCCATACACCACAGACACCACCGTAGACCAGCAGGTGCTGCAACAAGACATCTACCGTCGTCGACAACAACAACAACAGCAGCAGCAGCAACAGAACAGCGACAGTACAGTGGACATCGTTAACATCGTGGACGACTGTTGCAGCGTCAGCGATTATTGCAACAGCTACGGCATCGGTAGCAGTGGTGGCTTTGACCAGGGTTACTACTCCATTGCTTCGGCCGAAGTGGCGTACAGCCCACAAAATTCTGCTCCGGTGCCATCCATCACGCCACCGCCATCTTCGTGTGGAGACCCATCGACGACGAGCACGGTAAATTAACACCATATTACACCATAATTACACATTGTATTAGAACATTATAAATATTTTGAGTCTGGTGCAATGTGATTTTCACCACGTTGATTTTGTGATCACTTTCTGTCGTAATACATAGTGATATCTGCAGTATTTATAATATATTATGCTCTGTACGCAAATGAATTACTGAATAATACTCGAAAGTGACTTGAATTCCTGTCGTAACGAAATACATGCTGCTACTATACTGCAGTATACAGTGAAATTTTAATATTATTATACTAAGTCTAAACAAAATACCTACATGTAGTCATTCGTATTAAATAGAAATTGGTTAGGTAAATGGAATTTCATGARTTTAGTTCTGACTGAAAAAACTTCGTTAAATTTATGTTCCTATTATACATGGAAGTTTAGTCGTATTATAGCCAACCTCCCACCACGTGCTGTGTGGTTATATATGCTACTTTAGTGAGACTCTCAAATTATYGTACTGAGGATCGTTACCCCACAATGGTCTTGTATTTGATTTTGATGTTCAGCTCATTCTAAGTTACTACATTATTTATTCGATCGGAGTGGTGGGGTGGGGACAGGGCGTAACGAACTCGCAGTTTTCGTTGTCAGCCAAGTACTTACGATAAAAGGAAAAAAATAGCTTGAATCTACGAYTTCGAGTACTTCGACGATGTCATGACGTAACTCTAATCATAATAATAATATTATAATATCGTAGTCTCAGAGCGCAACAAGACAATTAGGTGCGGCGATTGCGAGCCGAGGAAACGCCCAGGCGCGGCCCACATTCCATCGCCGCGGCGCGCGGAACAGGTTTTCGCGTGCGCCCGTCGCTATAAAAAAAATTACAAAAACTATTCCGTACGCCCGAAGCAGCTTTAATATGATTTCTATTTTATTACGCATCGCCATCCATGTAGAATATAATAATAATATAACCCTCTCCTCGCCTACCCAGCACCMCCACCACTACACCTACCGATGAAATGCTATATTCTATTATATATTTTTAATATACACACCGCTGCGGTTGATGCTATGTTAAAATATTATTATTATTATTATACATAATCAGGTGCGTGTTGCGACGATGAGGTTACTATTATTACCATGATAATATAATATAGCAATTACAACAATACAATTATATTGTATACCTATATAATCTTCGCCTGGTCGGTTAACCAGCGCGCTAAACTCCACCAACGGCGCTCTAGGCCGTCTTGGCGTCTTGCGATTCATGACGGAGAGTGAGGGCATAATACAACGACGTCTTTACCCACTCCGTTTAGATTACCWCGAGATTAACATTAGAAAAAAAGCCTCGCAACCCTAGCCRCCCCGGACGATAAGTGCTTCGTGATATCCCGCCGTATTTTATATACAATACGTACTGCACGAGCAGACTGATTTAGAACGGCGGACATWTACGACAGCGCTAGCGACGACAATGTACACATAATTTTGTGCATAATATTATAATTCTATATCATATCATATAATTATACGCTTCTGAAAATATATAAAAAGAAATATACATTTCTGTGTTCGTTTGTCYTATGTTTAACCACTGAGCCGTTTCCAATAAAAGTTACATCATCAATACGATTTCTCRGGACTCTAAAGGTGTTTAAAACTTATTTGTTTAACCCCTATGGCCTATATATAAGTTTTTAGAGGAATTCTCTATGAATCGAATATTTTTTTTTGTTCAATCAAATGGTTACCATTGGATTATGATATATAACTAATGTAATAATATCAGTAAAAATATGAAATAATATATTAAAGAAGTTTTTATAATATATATATATATATATTTTAACAAATACTTATGAACACAATAATGATTACAATGATTAAATTTATAATTTACTCACTTACTTTGGATATATGTTTTATGTTAAAGCATAGAGCCTGCAATCTATTAACGCTATGTCGTTAATGAATTTACGTARGCTTTTAAAAGGACGCTACACAAATATTTGTTGTCTCCATCTTACAAGTGTACGTAACATAGCAAAGTTACACTTATCAGATCACGTTTAATTCCGTTAGCTTAAAAATAAGAGTAAATTGACTTATTGTGAAACTTGATAATAAGAACATTATCTGCAGTGTTTGTTATGTGTGTGTGTGTTTTTTTTTTTTTTTTTGATAACTTAGTTTTTGAGTCAGTTATGAGCATTTTTAATTTAAGCTTTTTTTATACACATAACTTGCTACAAAATTTAACTATAGTAAAAAACACAGATAATGTTCATAACATTAAGTTTCATAACAGGTCGATTCACTCTAATTTTTGAACTAACAGAGCTAAACCTGATCTGCTGAGCCTAAATTTGTTATGTTATGCACTTATAAGACGGARACGACAAATGGTTGTGTAAGTGTCCTCTTAAGCATTCGTTGAATCTGTTTTAGCTATTTGTGATTACATTAAAACATATGTTYGAAATTAAGAACTGGAAATTCATATAAAATAAATCATTATTATTATGTTTATATTGTATAAAAATTTCAACTGAAGTAAAACGAAAAACTATAAAAAAGGTCGATTAGGTTTRACCCGGAAGAAGTCGAGTCTTAAGTAAAGCTAAACATTGGAAAAAAGTTTATATTATAGTCAATAAAACAACCAACATTGTTAATGAACTTGAAAATGATACTATTATTATAAATTATAATACGAAAATACGATACCTACTATTTTAATTTTTTGTTAATAAATGAACGTAATTGCACAAAGAATAAAATAATTGGTAACTTTGGTCAATCGAAAATAAAATTTGGATAAAACAGTTGAACTCAATATTTCTCACGCTTATGTTTTTATAGCTATTATTATAATACCAAACTGATATCGTATATTCGTATGTACTACTTTAGAAAGTATGTTCACATATTTCAACAATAACTAATAAGTGGTAATTTTGAGATTGCGCAATAATTGAAATAATACATTTGAAAATTTATTCAAAAAATATTGCAAATCCATACATAATCTTGGCAGTATGTATAAGGTTATTTAAATTTTTCTTAATATGTTTTCAAGATCAACATTTAAAGTGTCGTATGATTATAATTTATAGCTCATATGCGACATATGTACATATATTATTGTTTCACATTACAAAACATTAATATTGAAATTATAATTTTATTTGAATAAGTAAATAATAAATTCTACTCATTCCATTTCGAATATGTTAATACATAATTAAATGTGTGTATTATGATTTATGAAGATTTGTTCGATAAAATCTCTTTAGGAGGTAACAATGTTGTACATAGACCAATTTTTTTCAAATTTGTGTAGTCGATATGTATACATTATAATGTACCTACATAATATAATATTTCGATTTATATAAATCGAATCGAGAYCTATAACTATAAAACAAACACAGTTTTTATTCAAAGTCCTTTCGATCGCTGGTCCATAAACTGTTGAATAAAATATTATGGTGATGCAGGAATAATAATAATATGTAAAAAATTATGTACGATTGTGGTCGACGATCTCTCCCCTCGCCCATTCCATCATATCTGACCGATGTATAGTTTGCCACGTGTGTCCGTTGCGTAATCACTGACGCGTCGTCTTATATACAATATACCTTACTGCTCGTCGGATAACCTTGTGCCGGGACACATAATATAATATATAGTACCTAATGATAATATAATATAATATATATATAGACCTGTTTCTATATTTACATATATATACAATACAATATTATACTCGTCGACCGCGCCCGCCGACGCACTTGGAATTTGATCGTTTCGAAAGGAGCGCGCGTGACGACGCTGCAGTGTCCGGTAGAAAGTAAAAAAAACATGCACACCCCGCCGCTCTTCCGCAATGTCCAAACTCGCAACTCTAATATAATATACATAACCGAGCATCGTAAATATATATATATGATAATCACATAACATTATCATGTGCGTCAACGTTTTGTAGATTTTGTTTTTCGTTTCGACGAACGTGAGGGGGAAGGGAGTGCGCGGTCATGTACCCGCGTAATATACTGCGGCATGAGTATAATAATAACTTTACACACAATATATAGAAGGTCCGTCGGAAAGCACACGTGTACAAAAAAATCTCAACACGGGTAGAACACATCAAATTAATATGCAGTTCCGACGCAGATAGAAACAGAAAATTGAAAATATGAAAATGTTTTAATTCTTAACTATTATTGCAATATCAGCTGCTGCATAYATATATAATAATATYATACCCTATACTTGAAATGTTTTAAATTTTAAACTGCAGATGATAGGACAATAACGATTTTTAAAAGGTKCAGACATAGAATGCTATAAGCCTATAACAATATAATGTACAATGAAGACGTTTTTGTTTGTTTACGAATGATTATATRTGATAAATAGGTATCAAACAACAGGTAGTTGGCATGCGCAAATAAGAAATTAATACCTCTATTCTAACACAGATCTGGAGCTATTGTGGCAATAACTTTTATTATTCATATATAGCTAATTACATATTTACATGAATAATAGATACGATTATGTTATTGTTCGTAACCATAAAAAAAATTGTTACAATAATACTCAATAACAAAAAACCTTAAAACTTTAAAATTAAAGTAGTTTTTCAATACCTTCCTTTAATGTTATGTGTAATAATGATGCCAAATTACAAAATTGAAAATCCATTTAAAAAAATTTAGTTTTCGGATATGATTCATTGGGAAGTTCACTGTAATGGTTATTTAGATCTRTAGTATTATAATGTCTTAATAAAGTTTTTTAATGCAGCATGTTTTATACTAGTTTAATTTATCACAAAAATGATGCTTCACTTAAGTAAACGACAGTAATCAAATTTCTTATTTAAGGATTAAATACAAAAATCCAMGTTATGCCTAATATATAATATATTATATGATTATTGATTTTATATGAATTAACTATAAATTATTGAACGYCATTCAAAAATTATTTAGCAAATACAAATTTCAAATTTTTCTGTCGAAATGTACGTATAATCTTAAAAATATACTATTATTTTTTCTATGCTGTAACAAATAAAATACTTAACTTGAGARCCTTGTTTATTTACGAACAAAAGCAGTGAGCAACTTACTCATTACATTATTATTTATAATTATCATTTAATAYRTAGGTATAGACGGCACCATTGGTATATTATAATTTATAATACCATTATAGTCCACATACTGTGCCTATGACTTTGCGTAAATAATAATATAAGCAATTGGTACGGTGCCGATTACATTGAGGAATAATTGAATAACTATGCATATATAATAATAGTAACTATAGTCTATATTGTAATAATTTCAAAGAATATAACGTCACACTATAGTGACTAGTTGTAAGCTGAGTATCAGTACGCAATAATATGCTAATCGTYRCRGGTTCCATCAGAAAAACACGAATCACCTCTACCCACACTACTACAAGTTATCTATAATAAGCGACGCCCGACGGTGGTAATAAAATATAATATCAATCATAAATTCAAAATTGTAACAACGGATTTCATCAATGTATTTGTTCACATTGCTATTGAATTCGACATGGAAAAATAATTAAACTCCATTGTTAGTTTTTTACGGAAATTTGACACACACAGATGATTCGTTGTAAAATTATTTTAGTAGGTATAATAAAATGTTTATACATTGATTATTTGATAAATGTCGTTGTAATTTCATAATAAAAGTTGTTTTTGTTCTCGTTAACGCCCTTTTACAATGAATTAGCATTGAATAATGACTCATAAAAACATTTTTCAGATGAATGTCTCTATAATATAGTATATTCTTTGTTCATACAAAATGTGTTAATAATAATAATAGGTTATTTTTTCTAAGTTATTGAATATTTTCATTTTTACTCTTCTAAAAAAAAAAACATAAGCAGACCCATAAGATATATCTATATGACTGAGAATCAAAACTTGTTTTGGTTTATTCCTGCAAGCCCAAAAACAGTTTCGATTTTTTTTGAGTTTCGAATATGAAAACAGTTTCGTTTTTCCACGTTTCGAATTCGTAAACAGTTTCAATTTTTTTTCAGACTAACCGGTTTTTTAAATAGGTTCTAAACCTGTTTTGAACTATTAAAGTCTAGCATGAGTTTTATTTTTATCAAATCCAAAATACACACACCTAGTCTCCCTCCYACCACTCGTACTCCTACCGTGCCTATATCCGTATATTATACCAGTCTATTTCGTAAATAATATATTTCATAGTGACGGCCCGGCAAACCCACTGAAGTTAATTAATCAAGACGTATAATTATTATAGTGAAACGTTTTTAACCTTTTTTTAACGTTTTTAACGTATTTTTTCATTTTCGTTAACTTTCAGAGCGACGACGGTGATAACATGGTCCAACAAGTGTCGACCTGGAAAACTACCGAAGCAACGACATCYGACGACTATTACGACAGGCTTCTGATGACGGTTATGATGGAGGCGGCGGCTGCGGTGGCTTCAGTTTCATCGCCGGCCAGCGATAGCAATTGCTCCGGTACAACTGACAATGTCGGCAGCAACTTCATCAGTAGCAGCAGCAGCAACAGYAACAGCAACAGCACTTGTAGCACTACTTTCAAAAGCGATATCAGTGATGAAAGTGGCGACGTGAACGGCGACGGTGACGGCAACAACAACATGTGCTTCAAAATCGAAGTGGACGACGACGAGTACTGTGGMGACGCGGCCACTACGACGGCCGCCGATTACGACGATGACGACGACGAAATCGAATCGGACGTATCCGAAACGAAGTTTCAATCGAGCCAGCTCCTTGTCAAGGCCTCCGCGACATGCTGTTCGACAACGGCGGCTGTGGTTGAGCCGGAAAACAAGACATTATCGGCCGCTACGACGGCCGTAACCGCTTCCGGTTCCCCGTCGTCGTCACAACACATCCATTTGTGGCAGTTCCTCAAGGAACTGTTAACCGCGTCATCAGCAGCCGCGGAACTGCAGACGACCACCGCGGACGTCGAAGCGGTTAACTGTAGCGCGTCACCATCGTCGCCGTCTGCGTCGTCGACGACGCTCTCAAACACCGCAGGGAACAAGCCACAGCAGCCGCAGCAGATGATTCGGTGGCTGGACCGGAAGCAGGGTGTTTTCAAAATCGAAGACAGCCAGGCCGTGGCCCGTCTCTGGGGCCGCCGCAAGAATCGGCCTGCCATGAACTACGACAAACTATCCCGAAGCCTACGACAATACTACAAAAAAGGCATTATGCGCAAGACGGAACGTTCACAACGGCTCGTCTACCAGTTTTGTCATCCGTATAACGCTTGACGAAACTAAAACTTAATATAATAAAAATAATACGTAAATGTATAATTATAATCAGGTCTGTGTATCAATTTGAGTGACGTATTGGCGTATCTAAAATCTCATGTTCTTATGATTTCATATTTTCATTATACACACTTTTCACTCTTAAAGTATTGGTTTCGAYTTATCAGGGAATTATACCACCATTTTAAGGTCACTCTTAATATTGTAACACAGCCCTGATTCTAATGTAATAAATTAAACTATTTGTAAGCATGGTGGTGGTAATTTTTTAGTTTTAATTTTATTCTTAAAGAARATAATGGGTGTCTCTGAGCATGTTCGTGTGAGGAGGCCATAACCCATTGGTAAGCTAATACTTGTTAAGTTAAAGTAGTGCTTGTACTTCGGCCAAACTATTGTAATCATAATTCGGTGGAGGTAAAGTACTCATAAAGTCATAAATACAATAACATATACGCCGTCTCGTGGTCGTCGCCGTCGGACGAGCGAGCGGTGGACGCAAAGCCGCTTATAGGTGCGAGCAATGAACGCGAAAGGTAATTTTCGCGAGCTCAACCGTCACATCCTTTTTTAGGGTGGCGGGTTTTTTTAAGGGGAGGGGGGAAGATTGTGAAAGGTTATCGAAAATCCGGTCAGGTGACGATTTTGTTTTGTATAATCATTAAATTACATACAACTAAATTTCCCGTACGGTTTTCGACGGTACCTATAGTTGTCGTGCACTAGCAGAAGAGGTGGGAGAATAATGAGGCGCTTTTGGCGCGATTTTTTTTTTAATATTTTAAAACTACCCAACCGATGAAGCCCGCAGAGGGCATAGTTGGATTTGGGTGGTTGTTATCGGTCCCATATATCCATGATATATTGTCTATTACGTACGTTCTGTGAACATGTTTTTTTTTAATATTGTAACTATAAAAATACATTTTTAATTATACATAATTATTATTATGTGAATTATAATACATTTATATTATAGAATTAATTATACTTAATTTAGTGTGGGGGGGGATAGTGATTACGTTGTCCGTGCGGACTGTATTAATCCGCAGGCGTAATAAACGCCAATTGGTGCAGGTGAACGATGATTTGTGTATATTTTTTTTTATTAGTTTTTTGAAGTATTGGCAATGTGGCCATTAACATTTTGTGGGAGGTTTACGGCAAGTTTTGAGCTACACTTGTGTATGTATGACGAGAAATTATCGCTAAAAATCCGCGTGGTCACCCATCTGGGAACTAGCGACGATGGACGATGTTTGAACGAAATACACATTAGTGATGAATAAGTAGGTACTGCCAATTACTTCGCCACACCAGACCCGACAATTAACATTATAATATATAGGCACCTATTAAATTATATTTGAAATCAACAAAAGTATAAAAACTACAAACATATTAAATGATTGCTCAATGATGTGCTAATATGTTTTTTTWAAAAAACCTWCCCCTGGGTTTAATTGTTGAGAATGTTGAGATAGTGTGCGTTATATTTTACTTTTACTCTATGCTAATATAATATATATAAATATATAGTGTATGCATAATAGCGCACTTCGATAATATTATGATATTAATA